GCAAAACCTCAAGGTTTCGCTGGAGGAGGGTCTTGAACTCATCAAAAATAGACCGGATTCGGAGGAACCTACAGCATCAGTGGAGAGGAGCAGCAGACCAGAGGATGGCAGGAAGCTTACTGATAGAGATAGCGCCTCCAATAGCAGTACTGGCAAAAGTAGCAATAGTGCAAGATACTCGCCTCTTCTGGACAATTTGCGTCTGATGCAGATGCTGTCTGGGAAAGAGCAGCATGAGATAACACGAAAGCCACGCACTAGTATTGATAGCAGGCGGAGCAGTGGTACCAATGATGCACCTCAGAGTCGCCGCGGTAGTCTCCTGCCTGCAGACGGCAGCAGCTCGGTGAGCAGCAGTCGGCGGGGCTCCTTGCAGAATCAGCACATGGATCATAAGCAATATCAGATGTTCCAGGTGCAGCGTTTGAAGTATTGGGAGCAACGGCAGCGCATTCAGCAGCAGAGGAAGGAGATTGAATTGATGCGCAAAGCGTCTCAACAGCAGCAAATCATTCAGATATACCAGCAACAGCAACAACAGCAGTACATCAACCAGTGGCAACAACAGCAGCAGCGTATCAGTCGACAGCGACAGCAGGTACAGCAAGTACTGCACAACCAACAGGAGATCTTGAAAACACACGTGCAGAACAAAGCCCGCAGGAGTAGCGCACCAACACTGCGAACACAACGGCCAATGACTCTCAATCACAGCGGACACATGGCCAATGACTTTGCAGCCAAGATGAGCTTGCAAGCAGCGGCAGCAGCAGCTGCAGCCAGCCCGGTGGCGGCAGTTGGTAAGACCAGTACACACACCAATGCTCCGCTCATGCAGCAGCCGCAGCAGCAGGCGGTGGCTGGACGATCGAGAGGTGTTTGGCCATGGGCAGCAGCGCCGCTGGGAGCACCTTCACCAGTGCCACGCTCTGCTAACCCGGCCGCCGCTGGCCTGATCTCGGCAGCTGACTTGGCTCACCAGCAGGCTGCTGTTGCATCGTCTGGTTGCAGGCCTGCAGGAGCACACCCTCTGCTTGGAAGCAATTCCGCAACTTTATCAGCATGTACACCGATTACTAGTCCAGCTGCTGCAGCCACTTCCTCCAGTCTGATGACGAACGAGGAGAAAGAGTGGATCAGGCAACTCCATCTGCAGTCCATTCCGTCTGGCAGGACGTTAGAGCACTTCAATTCTGACTACTACTGCATCAAGCTAACAGAGCGTCGAGCACGGCGCGATGGCAAGCCAGTAGAACCCTTCACACTGCTCACTCAGACAGAGAGAGTCACTCAGACGGGTGGTAATAATGGCGGTGGCACCGAGTCCGCTGCAGGTGACACATGGCAGCAAGGGCATAGGGCACCTCCTGCCGCTCTTGTCCCGGGAGCACTGGGTGGTCGCATCTCCACCTCGTCCGTTCACCGTGAACGGGAGCTTGTTGATCTTGAATCGGAAAGTGCCAACAGAACTCCACATGCAACTGAGTCATTCAATATAACTTACAAGCCGCTGCTGGCTATTGAGCAAGCTTTTGATCAGTTGCTAGCACTGGAGGAGTATGAGCGGAAGACTGCCATACCCCGCGGTGATGTTCTCCTCATCTCGCAACCGGAACGTCGAGATCAGACGCTGCGCTCCATCATGTCGCTGCTCGGCTTCGGTCCCGAGATCAACGTCCCTCTCGTCAACGAAGTGCTGTGCACGTCGAAAGGTGTGTCACTCATTGCGCGAGTGCTGCCGGCTATTCCACAGGAAACTGCTCAACAAGTGGCCATGATGGCGTTCAAGCATCTCTCCTTTGTAGGATCGTCGCAGGACTGTGACATCTACGGAATTCGAAACGTCCTCCCCGCCCTGGCCCGTTCTCTGGCCGTTGTGATCAAACAATGCGAACTGCCGCTGCTGCTCAAGTTGCTGGAGCACTTGCTGCGCTTGCCCGAAGCCAGTGATGGCAGTCCTGGCGCGGTTGCTGTGTTATGCTATGGCAACGAAGCGGTGGCATCACTTCTCACTGCTCTTGTCACCGGCGGCTTCGATCAGTGCCTGTTGCTGGAGTCAGTCGACGGTACTCTGTCACGCGATATCATCTACTGGCGCCACTTGACCATGAAACTCTACTACCTGTTAGAAGCGCACAGCTCCTTGATCTACGAGGACGAGTCTGCCAAGCTGTTCTTCTCGCAGCTAATCCTGCACGTTGGCAGCAGTTTCACCGACATGTTCATGAAGTTAGAGGAAGACGTGCCCACCGTCCCCAGTGCTTCGCGTCACCAGAAAGTACTGCGTGCAGCATCAATCGGGACTCCGTCCATGTCTGGCACTAATAGCAGCAGCAGCAGCATGACTAACCAATTCAAGCAAGTCCTGATGGCACACGAGCAGTACCAGCAGCAGTCCGAACCGCTGCCTGAATCTCCTCGCTGCCAGGAATCCCGGATCAGTGTCGGTAGCAGAGCGCCTGCTGAGCAGCACAGCCAGAAGCCTCTACAGATCAGCCAATCACCTAGCAAAGAGAGTGCTGCGCCAAGCCAAGCGTCCGCCAATCTGTCAAAGCAGCGGCATCAGCGACGTCGTGGCAGTCGACATGGTGATCATCCGCACAGAGATGATCGCAAACAAAAATCGGTGACAATTGTGCGCTTGGATTGTCGACAGTAAGTGCCCTGGGATGTTGCAGCTGTGACAAGTATCTCGTTATCTGCAAGTAATCCTCTCTCTCTCTCTCTCTCTCTCTCTCTCTTTCTCTCTCTCTCTCTCTCTCTCTCTCTCTCTCTCTCTTTTCTCCCTCACACTTGCCTGCTATGGAGTGAGGATGGCTTCTTGGTTGCAAGTAGTTGGTGATGAGTAAGCAGCACACAGATCAAAGGTCAGCTGTGGCGACTCGCAAATGTCCCACGCAAAAAGTAGATGTTAGAATCAGTTTGTTCCTCGTTTCCTGTGGCGTCTGGCCACCGATTAGTACTTTTAGCTCTCTGATGTTTTCATCTCTCTTGGTGTTCTTGAGTCGCCTTTCACTCTAATTTTTCCTATCCTCTCTCACCCATTGAGGTGAAGGTAACTTGTCTTGTTTTTGCATTTCCTTTTGTTTCTTTTCTTTGTATTTTGGGTGTGTGTTGTAACATGGTTGTGTGAATTTCTTTCTCGTTTAATTGCTTTGACTAACTACATGAGCAGCTTGTATAGGTTGTAGCACAGCTTCTCTTTGACTATGGTCCCGTGACCTCGAATGTTTTCGGCCAGACTTCTTCTTTTTCTGCCAAGCACTAGTAGGTATAGCTGCCCATTCTTTAATTTTTTTGTGTGAGCGAGTTTGTGCGTGCGTGTGTTTCTAGGCGTGCAACCTTTAGTTTTCACCTTTCCTGCCCTGCTCATGCCTTGTGCGTTCTTTATCGCCTTTCCCCACTCACTCGCACTCGTGATTGTCTCACTTGCATTCACACCACCCCTGCCACGGTTTCCTACCTTCTTTGCACGGTTTCCCACATTCTTTGTCCAGTCAGTCCAGTGTTGCTGACAGACTGTTGTTTTCTGCTCTCTCTCTCTCTCTCTCTCTCTCTCTCTCTCTCTCTCTCTCTCTCTCTCTCTCTCTCTCTCTCTCTCTCTCTCTCTCCCTCTCTCTCTCCTATAGCTGCAGCGTGTTTCCCCGGCTGGCTATGCTGGGGTTTTCATGATGTATTCCTGAATGTTAGTGCAGCGGCGTCATATGGTTACTTTGCTGGCCGGCTGCCTTTTTATTCTTTGCACATTCACAGCCGATGCGGCGTCCCATGCACACGCGTACTAGCTATGTGTTGCCGGAGAGCTAACTCATCTCATCATAAGGTTTTCTGCTTGTGTATCCAAGCGGATCACCTCACCATAATGAATGTTCACCCGACGTCGAAGTGTCTGCCGCTCGATTCGTTCCTGCACGCCACCGCTCTGGCAGTGGTCGTGTGTGTGTGTGTGTGTGTGTGTGTGTGTGTGTGTGTGTGTGTGTGTGTGTGTGACGATCAGTATGGTCACACACGTCCCTCTTCTCCTTCTTGTTTTCCCGGGTGGTTGCCAACAGCTAGACATGCCGGTGTATGTGATGTGGTGCGTATCAGCTGTATGGTGTAGACCAGGCTAAAATCGGCCGTGGCCATCAGCCCAGCTTGCAAGCTTTTGAATGGTGTAATCCCAGCACAAATTGCTATCGTCGCTTCAGCGATGCGCATGCTGTAGGTTGAAGAAAGGAAGGTTGTGTGTGTGAAAAATGAAAATAGGGATTCAATAGCCAGAAAAGTCACTTCAATCAGCTGTGTCGTGTAGACCAGGCTAAAATTAGTGGCGATCAATTCATCAGCCTTGCAGGCTGTTGAATGGTGTAATCCCAGTATAGTATAGTATAGTATTTATTCCCAGCACAAGTAAGTTGCTATGTCTAACATAGCTGTTCGCTATCATCGCTTCCGCGATGGGCAGGTCTGAGGTCTGAGGTGTGTGTGTGTGAAAGAGTGGTGTGAGTGGTTGAATCAGCCTCTCCCCCCCCCCCCGGGTCCCGCTCTCAGACTGTTCATCCCACGTACCGACGTGACCATGGTGACCTCTGCTTCGTAGTTCTGGGACTTCCTGACCTACATCATCATACTAACTTCATAGTCGCTAGCCCTTCGATCTGGTTGAGAAGAGTGTTATCACACAGTGCTGGCCTGAGCCGCTGAGGCTGAGTGAGAGTCTGGCCCTGGGACAATCACATGGACAACTATTACTTGTGACGTGTTACTTGTCTATATAGCTAAGTCTATAATCTTACTACTGATACTCATAGTCATACTCATAAATGTACTGTCATAGTGATAGAGATAGTCACACAGACGAATCTGAGACGATTCATAATTAATTTTTTCATTTACAATTTTAGGCGACGAACGGGCAATTCCTTATGACGTAATACATGCATCGACACTCGACAGTGTACAATCATGATGTCATGAAGACATTAGTCAAGAAGTGCGCACGGCAGCATAAATACACCAAGCCAGTGCTTCGTTCCAGATAAAAGGACCGTGCCAAACGTCCCTCGAAGAGAGTTTACACTCTGAGTTACTTCACTTGAAGTTGTACTTGCAGCAGCGGTTTGGCGTCTTTCTGAGGGGCGGTAGCATCTTTCCGTGGTGACCAGGAGCGTCGGTACGAGTGCGCTGAGGGGTACAGTGAGTTGGCGAAGGCGGATTATCCTTGGTGGGACTCAGTGGTGGTAGGTAGCAAGCGTTACTAGTGGTTCTATTAACGGCCTACATTGTTTGTGTCACTTTTAGTCCAACTAACTTTCCCATTATGTTCCCAGTTGGAGCTGTGAGCACGCTAGCAATTGCACTGAGCAGGTCACAACCAAAACGTTTGGGAATTCAACCATTCATAAGCACTCTGGGTCTTGGTGAAATTTTAGTCCGAATTTCAATCCATGCCAGACTGACTAGCACAGTGCCGGAGATAGCGATAGGCCGTTGCAGTGTGTTGTTTAGTGCGGATTACCAGTGTATAGCGTATGTGCGTGTGTGTGTGCATGCGTGTGTATGTGTGTGTGTGTGTGTGTATGCGTGTGTCACCACGTCATCTTGCACAGCAGTTGCAGACAGCCTGAATCACTGTGGCTGAACAGACCGAGCAGCTGCTTCGATCAGTCACTGAATCTTCACTCCCAACGTCAACAGGATGGGCGGAGGAGATGAGAAACCACCATTGATGCCAGCCGGGGCAAGCACCGATTGCGCAAACGCCGTCGAGCTAGAAGTCCGACCCGAGTTCTCTATGATTGCACCGTGTGGTCCCCCGAGCGGTCGTGGGCAGGCGCGCGACTCGGTAATGGTCATGGCACGGGTGAAAGCCAGGAGAGAGAGCGACGGGGATCGGCGGGCACCGGTCAATATCTGTGCCGTCATAGATCGAAGGTACGATGTTCATGAATGATTGATGACAGACCGTATTTTCCGGAGTATAAGCCGCCGCACCCAGATTATTTGTCATGAAATTCAGATATCGAACCTGTTTATCACATCGAACCTGTTTATCACCGTTAACTGATCGACCATCGTAGTATAAGCGGCACCGACTCCTTCGGGTTACGACTATGTTTGTTAGCAAAGGAAGTGATCTACTATTAGACGTGGTTTGATGGGCCGCGGTCCAATGGTGAATCGGTAGAGAAGATACCGGCATATTTCAAGGGCTGGTTAGGCTGCGCATAATGGGCGTACACTTATGCATGAGTGTACGGTGTACACCATAGTATCACCTACTGTCAAGTGCCGCCGCAGTTATTCTAGCACGGGCTAATGCAGCCGGGTCTAGTGCTAGCGGCTTCTTCTCGAATAAGGCTGGCATTCATAAGCGTATATCATGTCTATGAATGCTAAATGTTGAACCAGGTGTATGTGCTGAGAGTAGTGATTTGTTGAATGCCCCCCCCCCCCCCTTATACTGCACAATGGTATACATCGGTCCTGCTAAGCGGGCTCGCTATACGTATATGGGCGCAGGTGTGCTGTGTGGTTGTGGGAGACTGGGCCGTGGTGCAAGTGCTATTGCAATACGGCAAGCATGCTCGGCCACATACCATCAGTAGATGTGTAGCTCATTGCTATTGTGTGTGCTGCTGTGGCTGTCGTTGATGGTGCGTCATTGTCACTTGTAATGGGGTTTTCGGCACTTGTGCCAGTGGCCCCTCAGCCCCACCGCTAGGTGCTGCATCTGCCGCTGGACTTACCAGGTGTTAGCGGCCGTCGTGAGTTCCCTTGGTAACGGACACGATCATTTTAAATTTACTTCTACTTTTATTTGTTCTACAGTGAGAGTATGAAGACGAACATAGCTCTCGTCAAGCAATCGCTGGAGTTCATGGTGCAACAGGTAAGAACAGCACAGCACACACGGTATTGCTTATACTAGGGCGGAAACCGTGATCCATCGTCCACTGCTGGCACTGACTACTACACTGGTGACGGTGACTGCCTGACTGACTACGGTGCCTGACTGACTACGGTGACTGACTGACTACGGTGACTGACTGACTACGGTGACTGACTGACTACGGTGACTGACTGACTACGGTGACTGACTGACTACGGTGACTGACTGACTACGGTGACTGACTGACTACGGTGACTGACTGGCTACGGTGACTGCCTGACTGTCACCTAACAGATACACTATCCGTTTCTATTACTAAGATTGCAACTTACTTCAGGGAATAATTTAACCGGTATCGCATCGCGGTTTGCTACGCAATTCTTCTGAGGTGCGAATCAACTTCAGAAATGTGTCGCAGAAAACTGCGATGCATGTTGATGTTCCCCTGTACCCTGTGATGCACAGTGTACATGCCAGCTGTGTCTCTTAGGGATAAAATAGATGCACAAAGCTTCGAAAGTGTTGAGCTATGCACCCTGGTACCACGTTTGGTTCGCAACTAAGGTGCTATGGTGTATTTGTGGTCTGATCAGCTCTGCAGAAGGACAATTGTCAAGTGTTTTAAAGAAAATTGCTATGCAACATTTTCGAATTGCTATTCAAGTTTGATTCTGCGTAGCAAAATTGCTATGCAGAAAGTCGAAAATTAATTATTCCCTGTACTTGCAGAGGAAATACGTACAGTCAACCTTGTGAATAGCGACCTCGGGCATATTAATAACAACTCATGCATAATGGGACCTAGTGATCATTTGACACACCTATCCTGCTCGGCCAGAGCCAGAGAGAAAAATACCAAACAATTAATATTTAATATTTGTCTCGATCGGCTAGCACCGAGATCATGACATCAGGGTGTAGCTATGTACAAACTGACTTTGCTGCCGTTTGGCTCTTGTCCCGGCTTCACGTGCAGCTACGAGATGAAGATCAGCTGTCTCTGCTAGTGTTCGACCATGAGGTAAGTCTTGGGAGTAGATGTTCCCTGCGGGTACATGTACATATATCTACCTGGTGTTGGTTTTAAGAAGTTGGGTCGGAATGGCCTCTACACTTTGTGTGTACTGGCACTCAATGTATGTCCACCATGTGTGTGTGTGTGTGTGTGTGTGTGTGTGTGTGTGTGTGTATGTGTGTGTGTGTGTGTGTGTGTGTGTGTGTGTGTGTGTGTGTGTATGTGTGTGTGTGTGTGTGTGTGTGTGTGTGTGTGTGTGTGGGTGTGGGTGTGCGCGTGGGTGTGTGTGTGTGTGTGCGTGTGTGTGTGTGCATGCGTATGTATGTGTACATGGGTGTGTTTGTGGGCATGCACCTGGTACTGCAGGTTGCAACCATCTTGCCCATGACCTACATGACCCTGCAAGGCAAGGAATCCGCCGTACAGGCGTTTGGTAAGCTGAAGGAACGTGGCCAGACAAACCTTAGCGGTGGCCTTCTTGCCGGTCTGCAGCAGTTCCTCACCATGAACCCGAATCCGCAGGACAGGGCCAGAGTGGAGTCTGTGCTTCTCTTCACCGATGGCAAGGCCAACCGAGGAATAACAGACGGCAATACGCTCACTCGAGCCACCAGGTAACGTCACAGCCCGTGCTATCAATGCAGTCGTGCAGTACTTTGGTAGACTTTGATTTGAGCCGTTGGAAACAACGTGTCGGCATGTATGGTACTAATGCACCATAGCAGCGGGCCAGTGAATGCTGCGGCACAGCCGGGGTGGAGATTATCCGCCCGCAAGAACATGTAGACACACGTATGCGCTTGCATGCCGCAGTTGACCATGTGCATTCTCCCAGTGCTTGTGTTGACATTGCGATAACACACGCTGTCCAGGGCTGCCGCTTCCTCTGTCTGATCTGATACCTCGGTGCCCTTCGCAGGGAGTTGTGAAACTACCGGCATAACTGGCTTACTTTACGACTCCTTGACACTGACTTGCTGAGTGTTCACCAACTCTGTGTCTGCATGGCTGGGTTTAACTGCTCGTCTTTGCATGCAACTACTAGTATGTTAGTGCTATGTCTAGTACTTTGTAATATTATGACTCCTTTCATTGGGATTTTCGGTCTTTGACCACTTTGGTGGGTCTGATCTACTCACCTCCCACCACTTCGGAGCTGCATCTGCGCCTTGATCCTTGGAGGCGGTGGCTTTCCCACGGATGCGGAAAACTCGGCCTCTAGCCGAGTCTCGCGTGAACAGTGATTTTTTTCATTGTCGTCATTCGTATTGCGCATGCATAGCAGCATAGTAAATAGGTCGTTACCCGCCTGCACGCAGCTAATTCAGTGCTTGCTGTTGTTGTCCTCTGCTTGCTTGCAGGTCGGTGGTTGCGCAGATAGGTCGCCAGGTGTCTGTCTTCACGTTTGGCTTCAGTGAAGAGCACGAGGCCAATGTCTTGCAGTCCATTGCCGAGGCCGGTAACGGACTCTATTACTATGTGGCCGACGTAGAGAGCATACCGGACAGCTTCTGCGACTGCCTCGGCGGTCTGCTCAGCGTAACAGCACAGGTATGGCCGGATCAGTCAACTAGTAGAACTCTGTGTGCCGCGGTGTGTGTGTGTGTGTGTGTGTGCCGCGGTGTGTGTGTGTGTGTGTGTGTGTGTGTGTGTGCATGTGTGTGTGTGGGTGTGCCGCGGTGTGTGTGTTTGTATGTGTGTGTGTGTGTGTGCCGCGGTGTGTGTGTGTGTGTGTGCCGCGGTGTGTGTGTGTGTGCCGCGGTGTGTGTGTGTGTGTGTGCGTGTGTGTGTGTGTGTGTGTGTGTGTGTGTGTGTGTGTGCGTGTGTGTGCGTGTGGGTCTGTGTGTGTGTGTGTGCGTGCGTGTGTGTGCTTGCTTCCTTTCATGCGCACAGGTATGGATTTATGGACCAGTAGAACTTTGTGAGCGCTTGCTTCCTTGTGTAATGAAACCTGTCTAAGACGTGACGGTGACGACTGCTCAAGGGACCTTCTTCAAAACGTGGTCTCTGTTACCAGGGGTCTCCTTGTCCAGGGTCATTTGACTGGAAATAGCATTCCTTGGTGCTGGTTCCAGTGGTCTTCTAGCACAGGTGGTCACCTTATCTGAGTGGCCGCCTTGACAGGTTCTACTGTGTGTATGCGTGCTAGCTTGCTCACATGACTGACTGTGCCTGCATTGGGTGATGGCTTGCTCACATGACTGACTGTGCCTGCATTGGGTGATGGCTTGCTCACATGACTGACTGTGCCTGCATTGGGTGATGGCTTGCTCACATGACTGACTGTGCCTGCATTGGGTGATGGCTTGCTCACATGACTGACTGTGCCTGCATTGGGTGATGGCTTGCTCACATGACTGACTGTGCCTGCATTGGGTGATGGCTTGCTCACATGACTGACTGTGCCTGCATTGGGTGATGCGTGTGCACAACTTCAGTTCTAGCGGCATACGATCGGTGGGTTTCCTGGACCCTGAGACTACTGAAGGGACACCAATGTCCGTGTTCGCAGCTGTGTGGCTCTCACTTCCAGCATCCGTGCTCCTAGCATGGTATTGTGGAAGTGCTGCAGTATGGTCCCAAACATGTCTAACGTTACAATGCACAAGAGGTACACAACGGAAAGCAACTACCTCTTGTACACTGCGCGCTGCCAATCACGGGCGCATTGAGGCATTGAGACATTGAGCACTCTAGCAGGTTAAATATTAAAGGTGCACTGCCTTTGGGTAATGTTACAATGTACAATGCTTAGTTACAAGGACTGTGTGGTGATGCCTCAGTATTCTTTGCAATAGCTCTGTATGTCATATATGTGTACATGTATGCCTATATAGCACTGCTGTTTGCACGTCTTTCATTCCAGAACATCACACTGGAGATAGAAGGGCTGAATGGGCATCTGCTTGATCGCCCGCTGACTACGTTTGCGGTGAACAGCTCCAAGCCAAACTGCTACACCGTACAGATACCCGATATCTATAGGTAGGTTCAAAGTCGTGTGTGTACATGTGTTTGTGAATGTGTATGTGCTATGTACGCACGTATATTGTATGTGTGTGCACGCATGTGTGTATGTGAGTAAGTATAAGGAACATACGGAAAAGGAGCAGTGAAAGTCTGTGATGAGCACGCTAACAAGGGTTTTAACTGCATTAACCCCACGTAAAATAATATAAATAAAAGACAGAATGTTCAGCAGGTGATGTGTGGGTGACTCGCAGTAAACAGGAAGTGCGGGTGACTTCCCACTCCTTCATCTCCATCGCCAAGTATCATGGGTCTTGAAGATTCTGTTGTGTGGCGAAGTGCTAATGATACACTTGCATGCTCTGTGTGTGTGTGTGTGTGTGTGTGTGTGTGTGTGTGTGTGTGTGTGTGTGTGTGTGTGTGTGTGCGTGTGCGTGTGCATGTGTGTATATGTGCGTGTGTGTATATATAATATGTGTGTGTGTGTGTGTGTGTACGTTTGTGCATGCATGCATGTATTCTCCCATGCACGTGTGCGGAAGTACAGTGAGGAATCCAAGGACATTCTGGTAAATGTAGCGCTGTGCATCAAGGGTGAATTTGACCTGGACAACCCCAGACCAGTCCCGACCGAGGTACTCCAATGTCACGTCAGTTACTTCGATGTGTTGACGTGCAAGATCTGCAACGTTGAGGCAACGGCGTGTGTTTCTATCCTACCACCAGCTATAACTGCGGAAGAGCTGGGCATGGAGCTCGAGGAGAAGCTGACGATTGCCGACACTGACGTGGCCCTGCAGCGTATCCGCCAGTCGACCAACATTGCCTTGCGTGACGCGGACCGACTGGCGTCGGGTAACGACCGAGCGGGAGCCGTCGAGCAAATTGACCGTTGTGTTCGGGTGAGTAGTACTCATGCTGCTGCTGCTGCTGCTGGAAACGTGCCTCACACCGTAGTACATGTACACTGCAGCTAGTGTACTCGACCAGTGACATCATATCCAGGATTGTGTTGAGGGACAGGATTCCGGGTCTGACACACATGTTTTAAACATGCATGCGCATATCTATTGTCAGCTGATCGTTAGCATGTGGCCTCGGCGGGTGCTCCACTATATAGACAGAAGAGGCACTAACCACTCTCGTAATCGTCGACGAACCGTTCCGCAGAGTCGGACTTTCAGTCGGCTACAACAAACGTTTGCGCCGTCCGGACACGGCTTCTGGAAACAGAGGAGTCCAAACATGCACTGAAGTGTCACAGAAGCCGAGTCCTCGGGTCTGCGGAGATACTCCAGTTTCACCACCACAGCTGCGACTGCAGCCACCTCTATCATACAGTATTTTGTTCCCGGGGCTCGTGGTTTCTCGTGAAAAAACTACTTGATAAAAGTCAAAAGGAAGCGTGAGACGGTCAGCGTGAACACGCTCGGTTTTAGCTTTTAAGGCAATCATTAGAAAACAGCTAGGAGCACTATCTACCTGAAATTCCAACTTCCAAGCACCGTTTGCGGACATTGGTAGCGAGCTCGGTCTGCATCGGAGAAGTGGTCCAGGGAGTGCGCAATCGAAAATGTAAACAGGTAAAAATCATGTAAACACCTTCATCCCCCCCCCCCCCAAACAGGCTCGGAGCTGCAGAAAAAGAAAATCATGACCGAAAATGTGAACCGCACACTACGAAATGCCAAGCTCCGTTTCTGGACGTACGGAGCATTCAAGCGCGGTGCCCGTTTGAGCCATGGAGAGGCAGTCCAGCATGGTGGATCTACAGTTCCGGCCAGAGGCATCCAACCGGCTCGTGAACTTTATAGCGCCACGCACGCGTGTAGTGCTAGGGCTGTTTGGTGCCTGACGCTATTTAACTCATTTCCCCGAACGTAAGTCGCACCTTTTTTACACTAAACTTCAAGAGCAAAGAAGGGGTGGCGGTCCATTCATCAGCCTTGCAAGCTGTTGAATGGTGTCACCCCCGCGTTAGTTGCTACGTCTATAAGCATAGGTTGTTCGCTATCATCGCTTCAGCGATGGGCAGGAGTATGACCGTGTGTTTGTGCGTGCGTGAACTTTTCGTGTGTGGCAAATCTCCGGCATGAAACAATAATTAGACCAGGACATGAGCATTGTGTGGTTTTTGAACTCTTTATTCTCACGATGGCACCATCGCCAATAAGAGATGGTTGTTGTTGTTGTTACCGTCGTTGTCCACTGCAGGTCATCGAGACTTCTCCACTCTCACAGGACACATTTGCGCAACATCAGATGATGACCCTACTGACGGCCAAGGCCGGCATCTCTGATCAACGTGAGTACAAGCGCTTCGGAGCCAAGCACGTGCGCGGCCTGGTGCACGCCAACGAGCAGCAGCGCTCCAACACCAATCCTGTCATTCCGAGCCCCGCGCCCATGGCCGCTGCTGCCTCTGCATCTAGGCCTGCCTACAGTGTTCCAATGCCGCCACCGCTTCCCAGCCAAGCAGCGGCAGCGTCATACTTGGGTTCATCAGCTTCGGCAGCGGCACCGTACCCGGTATCGGTCGCACCGCCGCCAGCCTACGCAAAGCCCTACAATCCATACCGAAAGAAAGCCAAGGTCGAAATGATGGATGAATGGAAGAAGCACAAGGGAAAGAAAGAGGAGGAGGAGTAAGTGGCTGATGGTTTGTGTGTTAGAGAATCTTCTCTGCCGCAGTACCGTAGTCCGTATCGATTTTCCTGAAATGGAACTTTGACGCGCGAATGCAAACTGTCCCACATGGAATAACTCACTGTACTGTACTGGAGGTGATTCCGTTGCCGGTGTGTGTGTGTGTGTGTGTGTGTGTGTGTGTGTGTGTGTGTGTGTGTGTGTGTGTGTGTGTGTGTGTGTGTGTGTGTGTGTGTGTGTGTGTGTGTGTGTGTGTGTGTGTGTGTGTGTGTGTGTGTGTGTGTGTGTGTGTGTGTGTGTGTGTGTGTGTGTGTGTGTGTGTGTGTGTGTGTGTGTGTGTGTGTGTGTGTGTGTGTGTGTGTGTGTGTGTGTGTGTGTGTGTGTGTGTGTGTGTGTGTGTGTGTGTGTGTGTGTGTGTGTGTGTGTGTGTGTGTGTGTGTGTGTGTGTGTGTGTGTGTGTGTGTGTGTGTGTGTGTGTGTGTGTGTGTGTGTGTGTGTGTGTGTGTGTGTGTGTGTGTGTGTGTGTGTGTGTGTGTGTGTGTGTGTGTGTGTGTGTGTGTGTGTGTGTGTGTGTGTGTGTGTGTGTGTGTGTGTGTGTGTGTGTGTGTGTGTGTGTGTGTGTGTGTGTGTGTGTGTGTGTGTGTGTGTGTGTGTGTGTGTGTGTGTGTGTGTGTGTGTGTGTGTGTGTGTGTGTGTGTGTGTGTGTGTGTGTGTGTGTGTGTGTGTGTGTGTGTGTGTGTGTGTGTAATCCCAGCACAAGTTGCTATGTCGAACATAGCTCAGTGTTCGCTATCATCGCTTCCGCGATGGGCATGTCTGAGGTCTGAGGTGTGTGTGTGTGTGTGTGTGTGTGTGTGTGTGTGGTGTTGTTAGTGGCACTTGCTCTGTCATACCTGCTTGTATGACCACGTTGAAAAATGTTGTTTGTCTCAAGTACATCTAGTGCTGTTTTACGTCACGTTTTCTTGACTATGTGTGTCAACACCCATGAAATGTCCAGCAGCTGTTGGCTGTTGGAAACTGCTGCACACACCGGTATGTGTATGGCGGCGCACGGAGATTGGCTTTGAAAAGTACATTGCCAGTGCAAGCACATTATTAATTTTGTATCTCTCCCCATTGAGGTCTTCCGGTTTTCTTCTTGTCCATCTCTTTGTTCATGGTATGTAATGTTTGTTACTCCCTGTTGGGATAGTTGAGTGAGTGGGTCATGTGTGTAGCTTGGAAGCTTCCGAATAATTTTTTGCAATGCTATAGGTGTCCAGAACGAGTTATAATTGGTTCCAGTGTATTTGCCTCAACAGTGTGTGAGTAGAGTGGTCCTGAATTCCAGAAAAATAATTGAAATGCACTTACATCATAGTTTAGTACAAACCTGCCTCATAGAAACAAATGAAAATGAAAAGCGAACTCCTGGTTGCAAAAGTAGGTTTTCTCTTATTTCGCGGCGTCTTTCACAGGCCCCAAATGTAGGGAACGATTCATTGCACACTAGCCAAATTTAGGGATTCACAGCTTGCCCTCATGATGCTTCAACCCTGAAAATTTGAACAAAATCGGACAGAAAGTGGTTTTTGACCTCCGATATTTTTTCGTGATATGAGCGGGTGTTTCGGCTGCTTTTCTATGTGTGACGGCTCGATCAGCGCAGCCCCGAAAATAAGGTTCGGTACGACTACCAAATTCAGCAAAATTCAGAGCAAGCCACCTTCACGCCAAGCCTGTGGGGATTGCCTTAAACATTTGATAACAATATTTTTGTGAAAAGAAGGACAAAATGTTAGGAGTTATAATAATTAACTGGTTTGAGGGAAAGAGACAAACGGGAAAAGTCTGAAGAAAAAATTGACTGTCACCACCAGGAGTTATAATAATATTAATAATTTATACCCATGAAGTTGATTGTTCCAACTAGGAACACACGCTTCTTGCCGAACTTGACACTTGACTGACTCACGACTGCCATCCGTAGCACACGAGCAGCACGTCGCACCTTCCACTCGGCAAACCTGCAAGAAAGCACCACTCCCTGCTCAATACACGGTGTTTCGGGGAATTCACCCCTCATCAGTTGAGCTTGAGTAGGCCGAGGAAGATTGTGCCTGAAAAGCACCACTTATATACTGCTCTCCAGGCCAAACCATCACCAGGGATACAAACTTACAGAGACGCTTTGTTTCCAGCGCGACAAACACCTCGTGAAGCTCCAGGTAGCAGCGTGAGTCAGAGTCGCTCATGGAGTGTGATAAACAGACGTTGAGAGCCAGTATAGCTTTTCACAACGCTATCACCTCCAACAACTAGTCGCGCGTCAGCGTGAGGGACAACAATACAAACTTATTACACTTATTACCGCCGAAGTCACAACTTCTAAATTTATACCCAGCTCATATTAACCCCCACTAATTCCTGTGATCTATAACTGGTGAATATATCTCCTTATCGCCTTCTTAGTATTTGACCCCACTAATTTCCCTGATACCTAAGCGGTCAAATATATCGCGTATTTCACTGCTTAGTCAAATACACAATATATTTGACTAGTTATATTTGACTCCTTAGAATTTGGGAGAATGAAATTGAAGACACCACTGCAGCTGTACTTATGGTTGATAAATAGTGGTAAAGACACACCTGGCAATATGGCGGTAAACACACGCCTGCCCACACACGCTCTCTAGGCTGCAAAGTTCTGGCACGGAGCTCTCCTTCTCACCACCACCACCATCAGTTCGCGCCTGGTCGATGCATGGCTGGCGGCATCCGGCATAGCAGGCTGGTACATCAAGTAGCGCATAGGGGGATGATGACACAGCAACGACATAGCTCGATTGCGACGTACGTTTCGTCCCCGCTGGACTCATCAGGCAATCTTCTTCTTGGATGTCTTCATACGGAGCTTGACTCGGGAGAATGAAATTGAAGACCACCACTGCAGCTGTACTTATGGTTGATAAATATGGTGGTAAAGACACACCTGACAATATGGCGGTAAACACACGCCTGCCCACACACGAAGGTGACTGTAGCGGGATTCCCAGAAGCAATTAGGAGGTCTATACAGGATATATAGACCGAGTAAAAGACCGAGGTCCCCCGAGGTCTTTTACGAGGTCTATATATCCTGTATAGACCACCTATTGCCGTCAAACGTAGAGAAATCACGCAGAGAGCAACCAAAGAAAATGCGTACGGATCTGCTGGGTATCATCAAGAGTACATTATGTACTCTTGGTATCATTCGAGTGCAGGCAGAAAGTATAATATCCATGCCGGTTCCTTTTTTCTTCTCCTCCCCTTCTCCCTTCCTTGCCGTGGTTGGCTAACACCCTCTCTCTTTGTATTGGCCGGTGTTCTCACTGTGCTATGAGATGCTGTAATAAATAAAATAAATAAAATAATAACATATGGTACGGAGGGCATTATGCATATAATTATATGGCTGATTTATTTATGAAGTTGATTGTTCCAACTAGGAACACACGCTTCTTGCCGAACTTGACACTTGACTGACTCACGACTGCCATCCGTAGCACACGAGCAGCACGTCGCACCTTCCACTCGGCAAACCTGCAAGAAAGCACCACTCCCTGCTCAATACACGGTGTTTCGGGGAATTCACCCCTCATCAGTTGAGCTTGAGTAGGCTGAGGAAGATTGTGCCTGAAAAGCACCACTACTGCTCTCCAGGCCAAACCATCACCAGTTTTAAATAGATACATAATCCTTCTTGATGAATGCATGATGAAAAAACAGAAAAATAATAAGGCACCCATTTTTATAGTCCAGGGGATGGCCCACACCTGGTAAAAAGCGGAATAAACAGAGCAAAGAAAAAAGACAGCTCAATTGCACACTGATCACAAAAGAAGAAGATGAGTCCGTCTATGAGGAAAGCCGAGCCTCAACCACCTCCAGACCAATATTGTCTGGGTTGAGATGGATGCGTGCCCTAGGACGTCTTGAACCGCGCAGGCACAGGATAGAGGCTCTGACGAGAGAGATGCTGATCTTCGGCCTCAGCCAAGCCATCACTTGTGAGTAGGGCTGCAACTTCTTCTCTGCCATGAGACTTGTGATTCTCTTCACCAAAGCATTAGCACTTCGACCTGCTCCACCAGATGTGGCGTAGACGACAGGGATGAAGGAGGCATGTTCCACCTCTCGCACACGTGCTTCGTATAAGCGGCGCTTCTCCTGCTCATGTTTGCGGTAGACAGAGGCAATGGACGACGATGAATCTGTGAATTGGAGCGAGCATAGGGGTTGAAAACCCTTACATCCAAAAATGAACGCTCAAAACGACCGCCGTACACGCCATTTGCCACCACATCCAATCGAGCTTGGTCGCCTCTCACCCCGGTGCGTGGCTGAAGATGCTCTCCACTAAGGGGCTCTAGATGTGGCTCGATCTCCACTGCATGAGCGACTTTCACCAAACACTCTGCAAACACATCCCTGATCTCGTTGTGCCGAATGCTGGGAAAGCCGCCGTTGGGGCAAGACAGAGCATGGGTGACTGTGAACTGCTGCCCGCACACACACACTTGGTGGGGAGATTGTTGGGCTGCCAGCCATAGCGCAGACAGAGGGCATCCCGGAACTCGGCCTTGGAGAGCGCAAAGCCAAACCGTGCCAAAGGGCGGCAGGTTAGCCAGTTGGATGCGCCCTTCTCCGCCGCAAGCTCCATGCACCGCTGCAGGTCGGGAGAGACGCTGTTGAAGACATCCTTTCGGTGCTGCTCTTCTTGTTGTCTATTAGCCTCCCGGACAGCAGACTTGGCTATGCGAGTTTGCTCAGAAACACCTTCTAGCGACATGTCTTGTCTCCGGATCTTCATGACCAGGGCCTCTGTGATTATTATTATTATTATTTATTTTGAAACTCGGATGTTGAGCCATAAATAAATGTAAAAGAGAAAAGGACATATGGATACGAGTTTAGAGTAACTCTCCATCACTGTAACATGATACTATATACAGTCAGAAAGTGCAATAACTAGGCACAAAACTGACAGAGTACTGAGACATTCGACGTCCTGACACCTAACTTTAACACATCTCCGTAGCGCTAACCGACAGCCTTCCAACTTGGAAGGTTCAAGGTTATGGAAAGACCAAAGAGGGGACGGCAAGCGCAACGAAAACGAGCAAAAGCTACAGTCCCAACGGAACAAAGAATGTCGATTGTTACTGGACGATGACGAGACCAGTACGATATTTGACAAAGCGGTCTAACTACAATTCGAAGCAGCAAAGCAGCACACCACCCAACTTGGGTGGGTCATAAATATCAAAGATAAGTAAAGAAAGGGAAGCTTTGCGAAAACGAATTGTACAAGCCGAAAGCCAAACTCCTACAGTACTCCTCATGCATGACATTGTGATGGACTAGTTAACTACAAAACAAGTTGTTTCACACGACGTACGTTTCGCCGTATGGTTCGTGACGGCTCATCAGGTGTGCAATTTGAAACTCGGATGTTGAGCCATAAAAAAAGAAAGAAAGTGCAAAGTGTAACAATCGATACGGGACCTCACTCTGTCAGTTTTGTGCCTAGTTATTGCACTTTCTGACTGTATATAGTATCATGTTACAGTGATGGAGAGTTACTCTAAACTCGTATCCATATGTCCTTTTCTCTTTTACATTTTATTTATGGCTCAACATCCGAGTTTCAAATTGCACACCTGATGAGCCGTCACGAACCATACGGCGAAACGTACGTCGTGTGAAACAACTTGTTTTGTAGTTAACTAGTCCATCACAATGTCATGCATGAGGAGTACTGTAGGAGTTTGGCTTTCGGCTTGTACAATTCGTTTTCGCAAAGCTTCCCTTTCTTTACTTATCTTTGATATTTATGACCCACCCAAGTTGGGTGGTGTGCTGCTTTGCTGCTTCGAATTGTAGTTAGACCGCTTTGTCAAATATCGTACTGGTCTCGTCATCGTCCAGTAACAATCGACATTCTTTGTTCCGTTGGGACTGTAGCTTTTGCTCGTTTTCGTTGCGCTTGCCGTCCCCTCTTTGGTCTTTCCATAACCTTGAACCTTCCAAGTTGGAAGGCTGTCGGTTAGCGCTACGGAGATGTGTTAAAGTTAGGTGTCAGGACGTCGAATGTCTCAGTACTCTGTCAGTTTTGTGCCTAGTTATTGCACTTTCTGACTGTATATAGTATCATGTTACAGTGATGGAGAGTTACTCTAAACTCGTATCCATATGTCCTTTTCTCTTTTACATTATTTATTTTTTTCTTCTTATTTTGTTAGGGATTTCCCAACAGGCAATAGACACCCTTAGCAAACAACGGTAACGCTATTTTTTACGGTACTCGTACCTTGATCACCCAAATAGCGTTGAAGCTGCAGCGTATAAACGTTATGGGGGCTGATTTATCGTTGTGACCAACGGTACGTGTTTTGGCCAAATATTGCATAGTCCGTACGCATTTCACCTTGTATCGCGTATATGGTGACAAAAATGGTTGTACCGCGCGAAATCAAAGCTACTCTCGTGGCAACAGCGTACTAAAAATAGCGTGCATCTTGCTAAAGGTCGAACCCAAATCACGGTATTTTCCCCCTTACGATAATACCGTTACAACATAACGTTTTTTGCTAAGGGTGTCTAATGTTGCCTTTTTACTGGGAACCCTAAATGAGACTTTATGTGAGCGCGAAACAAAGCAGTGATCTTCACGGAAGCACCAAACTGGGCGGTCAGCAAGGGAGGGGAGACTATCCCTAGACCTCCGTGTCGGCAGGGCATTGCGAGAATTGACCGCTCCTCTGCTCCAAGTGGTGATCGACCAGTCAGAGCCGGGATGAGCTTCGTTGCAATAGTCCGCTCCAGTGGGTGAAAATGCTCATGCACACCCGGCATTGTCCTTGCTAAGAAGGACCATCTATGGCGCAGGACATTGGTGAAGACCACATAGGCTGCTTGCGGTTGTGTCATAGCAGCCAGATTGCAGACTTCTGTGCACCACCCATCAACCTTGAGCTGCACGTACTCGTTGCAGAATGCCTCTGTTCCGAGAGCCGCCCCAAGATGGCGTTGACCATCCGTTCTGATGACAATGTCTGTGCCGCTGAAGATCTCTCTTGCCAACTCCTCGTGTTGTGGTTTGACCAACAGGACTGATTTGGTGGCATTCAGGTAGTACCAAGAGTACATAACCCCTCCCGGGGGTTATGTACTCTTGGTAGTAGCAAGAGTATGGTTATGTACTCTTGGTAGTGTGTAGTTATGTACTCTTGGTAGTAGCCATAGCCCTCGACACCGAGCATGTCCCACCAGGCTCGCACAGCCTCGCAGTCTCCATGGCTGATTTATGCCCTAGTGCGTAGCCCGAGGTCGTGCACCGTAGCCCAAGGGCCGCAGGCCCGCGGGCTAGTCATGGCCCAAATTTGCTCGGCCTACATCGATATTTTGCCGCACAATTTTGCCACAAATTTTTCGATATTCTGCTTGGCATTTCCTTTCTCCGTCGATATTTTGCTTTGGTTTTGCTCGAGATGAACCCTGTAAGAAGGCCTTAGGCCTGTGGGGATTGCCCTATCAAAAATTTGATAATAATAATAAATAATAATAATGAAATGAGTTTTAGGGAAAACTCAAGGATAATTGTCGCTGATGACGACGATATGTTTGATTGAGCTCTTGCTGCTGCTCACCATTCCACTGAAATGTAGCCATGAGTCTGTTTTCTACAACTTTTGTGCTTGTTTTCAACCTTGGTGACTGATTGTGTTGAGGAAGTCCCTAAGAAGCCTTGGATTTTTCGAAAAGCCCACCAAAACTCGATATTTTGCTCAAAACTTGCCGGAAACTTGCGCATCCGATATTTTGCTCAAAGATTTGCTAGCAAATTTGGGCTATGACTACCGCGGGCTACGCCTACGGTGCACGACGCACCATGTGTTTTTTTATAGTTCATACATGCCACGTGCCTAGTTGTAGACAAATAAGGTAAACATGGTCAAGGGAGGAGGAAGGTTCCAATCAGCTGTCATATGAATGAAGGGTCGAACAAGATCGGAAGCAGCTTTCTCCGTGGAATGATAGAACGTTTTGTGTCAGATTTACTTGCAGTTCCAGGAATATGTCTTTGCATGTTGGTGTTCTTAATGAAGTGATATACCCCCGACAGAAACTGCACAAACAAGTGTGACATTCTTTTAAAGTTTACTTTTGGCTGACCGGTTTCACTACTAGGTGTAGATCATCAGAGTCTATTGGGCGGTACGGAAGTTAGCTGATTCGCTGCTGCTTTGGCGTTAACGTTGGCCGCAAACATCCTTGACCAAGGGACACTAGTAATTAGACTAGTTTTGAGAGTACATTGTAAGTGTTCTTATTCGGAACAATGATACTTTCATACATCTGAGATTTGGTTCGCATTGCTTTCAGTTTACTTGAGGTCCATAATATGTACACTGGACACTGGCCAATCATGTAGCTAGGTACATTTGAAGTACATGTACCGGTATATGTAGATGTAACTGTATATTTTGTAGGAGTTCGAGATACAATCGGATCTCTTCCAGATAGGTAACTTTGTGATGCATGTTCACCTGTTGACTTGTTCGTCTCAATTGACTTGAATTTAGTAATGCATGGTAACTACTACTACTACGGCTAACCCTAACCCTAACCCTGACCCTGTGTGCTATTGTCACGTTGTTATAAATTACTTCTCCTATGTCGACATTGCTAGTAAAATATAATTGTTTTGGACGGTGCACGTAAGTAGTTTCGTTTTGTGTGGTGTGTGCGAGTGCATGTGGTGTCCTTAGGAATGGTCCCATGTGTTCAATGTGCGCTGGAGTACTGCCAATTATGTACCAGGTCACTGCCCAAAAGGCTTGGTGCATGTTTGGCAGTGCACCAGCGTACGTAGTACGCCTGGGGTCATTCCTAATGGGCATGGGTACGCCGTACCCGGGCATTATCGTCTGATAATGCCCTGGTACGGTGCTGCTCTGATTGGCCAAATGCTAGCAACGACCTGACAACAGGCACGTGACATGTATGAAACTGTAATCTACGACGACGCAGTGCGATGCAAACTCGCTTTGCTAATGAGCCTCAACACTCAGTGACTGTCAAAGCTGAATACACCCTGCAGTGTGGCCTGGCCTGGGTGTATGTCAGCATGACATTCACAATTCTACATTAGGAGTAAATACAAGAAATTATTCGGATCGCAACAGTTGAGCCAAGCTGCAATCAGCTTCGATGATGAGATTTCCTGGATTCGGACCCCTCGACAAGGTCCGCGAGTGGAAGTGCCACAAATCACAGGGCACAGTGGTACACATATGTTCCGCAGACATGCAAACACCACCACCACCACCAGCCCGCAGCAATCACAGACCAAAGCACACACGCACCATCAGTATCGGGTAAAACCTATTGCAGATGGATCCGGTACAGTGACAGGGGCTAGAGCTAATAACATTGCCTAATGCCAGTTTGGAGTATGGCTTTATCTGAGAGCGAGAACGGTAATTGGTAAAAAAATATCCACGAGCATCATTAGCCAACACTCGAGAATGGGAGCTACAAGTTGTCGGTGAAAACAGAAATTGGAGAAAAAGAGCAGCAGCCAACATCAGTGGAGCAAGGATTATCTGGAGGAAAGCAAAGTGAACCAATAGCTAGAATGGGAACAATGTTGTCCGTCAAGTATTAAAAAAAACAGCAGGGAATGGTTGCACCGGTTGAGAGAGAGAGAAAGAGAGAGAGTGTGAAAGGTTGCAGGAACTATGAGAAAGAACCCAGGCTGAGAGGAAGGTTTGAATACCATGTGCGGTGGGACGCGGGGTAATTTACTAAAACAGCAGCTTGGAATGATAAAAATTGTGGAAAGAAACGTCCCCGTCGGAATACGGGACCTCACCAGCTGCTGCAGCAATCAACGACAGCTATAGGGTTCAAAAGAAAAAAAATGGAATTGGTTAGCGAAAACAGAGCAATCAGCTCATCTTGTTAAAACAGAGGAATGCTGGAAGCTTTTCAGGCAAACAAACAGTAAGTGATAAAAACTCAAATAGATGTGATTTACTCATGCCCATCAAAGAGAATGCCGTTTTATAAGCACCGCGGAAAGAAAGAGGAGAGAGAGAGAGAGAGAGAGAGAGAGAGAGAGAGAAGAAGAAGAAGAAGAAGTGAGAGGACGATACCGTCAGTACAACTAATGTGCTTGTCATGAACGATTTTGAAACAGGGCATCGGTTGGAGTTGGCTGATCGGTAGGCAGTATAGGATCGTCTATCATGCGAGTATATGCGGAGAGCGTGCGTACTCTAACAGTAAGATCAATCTTCTTCTCTCCGCAGTTGATTTGGGAATTTCAGAAATAAAAAAAGGAAGTACAAGAGATACATGGTAACGATTGCGAACCCAACTCCATCAAAACAGGTGTAAATACGGGGAACGCCGAGAGACAGACTTCAGAGTACCGATTAAAAGAACGCAACACGAGATCCAGTAGATGATGAAATTGCACAGGATAATTATGAGGTGATTGAGTTTGTTTTTTTAGTCAAGAGACAGAACCAGTCGTTGAGTAATGGCAACAGAAGTATTGAATGGATTTTTTTGGTCGACGGTAACTGCCACAGAAGAGATCACTTACGTCGTACGTTACTCTGGAACGTGATCAAACGTCTTTCAGTGGACTTCTCCATTGACGGCTGCGGGGGCTGGGGTAACAACGTCCACCATGGAACCGGAAGCCTGCGGAATGTCACCTGCTTTGGGAGAGGCGGAAACATCAACATTCTCCTTGTTGTGCGGTGACGGTGAAATGCCGTTGCTCGCGATGCCGTCCTTGTCGGCGGCTGACACGGAGGCAATTCCGTTCTCCTCGTTGATAGTGGCAGACTTGGTGGCTGCGGTGAGTGGGTAGCGCTGGGTGGTAGAGCCATTGGTCATGTTCACCACCACTGGTGTGGATGGGTTGTAGTCGGAGTTCTCCGGCAGGATCGAGGTGGACGCGGTGCGCTTGAACGGGCTGTGGCTGCCCGGCATCACGCCCGTGGATGCCGACATGCTGCGCATAGCAGTAGCGCGAGGATGAGCATGATAGGTCCCGTCTCCAGACTGCAGCAGGACATCATGCACACACACACACGATGAGACACAGAACCACGCATTCACAACCCGCTAAGCCTTAATGAAGACGTTGTCAACCCCCAGCTCCACGATAACAGCACAAGCCTCAACAAGACGGTTAAGAAGGACGAGTACAATCATGCACACTTCAAGAAAAGCTCTCCCCACACCCAGACACCTCAATAGCAAACTACTCACGGCCGGGCTGCGTGGAGAGCTGCCTGTATCCTTGTTTGTTGTCAAATTGACTCCAGCAATCTGTCCAGTCAGGGCCGAGATATCCTGAGCGTCGTGAATGCCATTGCCATTTCCATTTGGCGTGGAAACACCTGCTCCTGCGTCGGAACTGCCAGATGACATACGGGTAGGGAATGCGGGGCCTCTGCTGGCTTTGCCTAAACGATCAAGATGAAGACACGCGCACACATACATAATATTAGTTCATGCCTATGAAGCAGCAGTACCAGGTACATAACGTGAAGATCTGCTCATCCTGGTGCTCTGTTACTGGAGAATCCATGTTAGTACTTCTATTGTGTGGTGACGTGTAGACTACGCTAATCGCTCTATACGCGCACATGTACACATAGCATCCATGATGAGCTTGTCCATTCAGTGAGTACGTGGCTTCTCAATCATATTAGTGCCAGTAACAAGCACTGGAAGCGAAATGACATGGACATCAGTGTGACTTGCACCCAGAGGGGGTTAGCAAATCAAAGTTGCTGGACATCATTGTGACTTGCACCCAGCGGGGGTTAGTTAATCAAAGTTGCACTGCTGTGATGAATTAACTCACCATCAACACCCTCCTTGTAGAGAGTGCCGTCTGGGAAATCGGTTGAAACAACTGAAGAAGGTGCGTTCGGAGACAGTGGCGAGAAACGGGCGTTCTTGGACGACGGGCTGACCAAGGCTTCTAGCTCCTGCACAAACCCATGTAAAACAGGGAAAGGAATGACACACTGGACCTTGACGCAATGTCTAGGACCCTACCAAAACGAAGACGCTCGCATGTAGAGGCCACAGTCAACCACAGTGGTTACGTCTGCTTACAGCAGCACATGTAACTGCTCAGGAGTCTAGCAAGGGCTTTCACCTGAAAGAGCATGGCAAGACCTTGCATGCTCAAGGCCAATGCACTACTCTTGAGGTAGCCGCACGCAAATGCACAACCCCACACCGCAAAGCATTCATTATCAGCATGCGCCTGTCCAGTGCACGTTCTGCACCAAACAGTTGGCTCAACTTACCTTGAAATTTGCCAGTTGATACTCTAGAACAATCTTCGCTGTCTCCACTGACTCCTTGAGGCCAGTAAACTGAAAGGGAACCTGCACAGACCGAGGTACACAAGCACCGGTGAATATGTGAATGGGAAGGAGTAGCAAGAGAAGAATCCACATCCCACTGGGTGTGGATAGGATTGAAAAAGAGGGCGCATGGCTGCCAAACGGGGCTATGCCCAAAACACATAGATGCAGCAGATCAGCTGTGCGCGAGTGTGTGTGTGGGCGTGTGTTACCTGTCCATTCTCATCCTCGGACTCGATGCTGACTCTCAGCACATTGGACTTTGCGACAATCTCCTGGATTTTCTGGCCATTCTTTCCAATGACACGTCCTACAGGTTCAGAGGTGAAAAAGGTGAACATCATTACCACATTGGAATTGGAAAAGTATAGTGCAGGAAATACAATTCGTCAAGGACAGAAACAAGGCTGGACTGGACATAGCAATGGGCAACTAAAGTTCTGCTCAATGAAACTGATCGAACGAGTCAGCTCTGCGCCTTGCATCAGTGAACAATCCCAGTGTTCGCAGATCTAGGGCTGCAGGATGACGGCGCGTACTCACGCGACCAGAGTTCGTAGAGCAACACTGTACTAATCAACAGACACAACACGCTGCTCCTTGTACTCGACACTAGTGACAAGCGGCAAGCAAGTGGACTGAAAATGCAGGTACTACAGGGCATAGCTTAAGGATTTCATTTAGCTCGGACAAATGTCCTTCCGTTTTGAAATCTGTCCGGACATGCCCGGACATTTTCCACAACACATTTTCAGGGTGTTTCTTCTTCTTTTTTAGTAGTACTGAAGTATATTCACAATGACTCCTTATGTGGACTTATCTCACACATTACTATGTACAATTCGCCAATTTATTTGTATAATAGAAACTGAACTATTTACTGACGACAAATGTATGTACAAAAAAGCGTTGCAGTCAAGAATTTTGCGAACGTGATATGCTCCTTGCAGAGAAGGTAAGTCAGTTCGAAATTGCGTCGTGCAATAGCGGCAGCACCATCGTCCATCTCGCACAGTGCCTTCGCAATTGGAGCGAATTCGAGGGCATTTCGAGCGGGACACTCTTGCCTGCGGAAAAGATTCATTCCTCGTTTATGCATCTCCGTTCCAGCATGATCCTTGAACGCTGATGTGCTCAGGTTCTTGGATCCGGTTATGAAAGCCTCACTGAAGTTTTACAACTGCGGACTCTGTCTACAAACTTGATGCACACGGAACACTTCAAACATTCTGCTAACAGCCGATCGCTCTTCTGCCGGTCATAAATCAGCCAGGCGGAAGTAGTCAGCGCTGCATCATTGTCCGAGATCCACTTATCGCAAGTAGCGGCCTTCACACCACGGACTTTTTTGCCCGGCGGCAAGTCCTCTGAATCTCCCTTTCGCTTTCCAGAAGACATTCTAAAAGACTATCTGCATTCCTGGTCAGTGAAAGAGTGAAAAATAAAAGATGACATCTTCCTCTCAGGTGCGAACAACTGCACTAGCAGTCCAACCCATCGATTCAAGTGCGAAGTCGACACCAACGGTCGAAAGTGTGAATTGACTAGCAACAACGCGTTGCTACAGGCGGATCAAGTAAATATAGTGAAGTCTACGCCTGAGACTACGGTGTACGTGTTAGTTGTACGATATGCAAGTTGCATTTGGCACGAAGCTCCGAAGAAAGCCCAACTCTGCATAAAAAGGTCGAAAGGCCGCTGCTCTTTTTTTCCTTTTTTGACCGGACACTATGTCCGGTGAAATTGAAAACGTCCGGTCAGTGGCCGAAAATGGCCGGAAAATGTCCGGCTGTTAATCTATGCCCTGTACTAAAGTGCTGCTCAATGAAATCCGAGCGAGTGAGTCAAGAGCACGCCGGGCATTGTGCAGCGTTAGATATGCAAACCCCGGGGTGTGAACTGGTGCAGGGAGGAGAGCCGACTCACTAGACCGGATTTTATACAGCAACACTGCAGAAAGCTACCTTGGATGCCCATACCCGTTGGGACAGCACCCACAGAGATACGCTACACTACACACGTACCAGTATACGCTTTGGGAATGTAGACAACTTCGCAATGGTACTCCAAGCGCTTGCGGGCATCGAGCACTTCGCGGGTCGTCTAAACACACAAAACACAAGTAGAAAGTGCAAAAGAACAGCATAAAATAATACAGACCTAGTTGCTAGTTTCCCCGATGAGGAAAATCAATAATTAGTTTATACTAAAAGAACGCAAACTGTTGCGATTTCGGCGGTAATAGTCATGTCATGAAGTTGATTGTCCCAACTGGGAAGTGTCAAGTTCGGCAAGAAGCGTGTGTTCCTAGTTGGAACAATCAACTTAAAAGAACGCAGGGAATGCAAGTCCTCTCAGCAATAGCGGAAACTGCAGGAGCATATTTTCCACTCCACGCAAAAGACTATTAGTGTTCAATTTGTCTGGCAGACAATAAGCTCTCCAGTACACAGTGGGCAAAGCAGTGATCACAGACATGGTATTGTCTTGGCAGCTCTCTCTCTCTCTGTCTCTGTAACCTGCATGCATGCTAAAAGTGAATGACGAGTCAAGCACCTAAGCCGCTTACATTTCCAGTAATCTTGAATGTACACGTGTGTTCGTTGACCTCAATGGAATGTATGCCCGGCATGCTACGACACTGTTGGATGTTAGATCCTTTCGTTCCGATGGCGAGACCCATGAGACTAGGCTCGATGGAGAACGTCTCTGTGACCAGTCTGGGATTGTTTGGAATCTCGGGTAGTGGGAAGGGCTGTATGGGTAACAGAGAGAAGCGACAGTACAGTACGCAAGTGATCCTGCAGCTGAAATACAGTAAAGACGAGTAAAAGGGCAGTAGCTGCAGCACTGAAAATATGACAAATACACTGCCCAATAAACATCTAAAGATACTCACGACTCAGTAATGCCAATAAACACGAACACAATCTATATAAGTGGTGCTCTTCAGGCACGATCTTCCTCAGCCTACTCAAGCTCAACTGATGACGGGTGAATTCCCCGAAACACTGTGTATTGAGCAGGGAGTGGTGCTTTCTTGTAGGTTTGCCGAGTGGACGGTTCGATGGACTTCTTGTGTGCTCTGGATGGCAGTCGTGAGTCAGTCAAGTGAGAATTCAAGTCGGCAGGGAAAACCACGAGCTCCCATGTAGGGAGCAACACACTCTTCCCCTACTATCGCCGAAGTCGCGCCAACCTCTTCTTCACAATCAATAAAGCAGTGAAGCACCAGCAGTACTCACGCGAGTCATCTGTGGCATTCCCATGAGGCTAGCTGCGGCGGCAGCAGCTCCACGCTGCTTCAGCATCACCTTAGTCTGCAGGCTGCGGACGTGCAAGTCCGCCAACATGCGAGCGCGTGTTACGGTGTCTGATGACGTTGACTGCAGTATACAAATCCATGTACGCGTCCACACACAAAGACAACACAAGATCACAATCGATATTGGTAGTTGCTGCTGGCAACTCCAGGACTTATCTCATGAGTCGCTAACACAGCCAGTTTAGTCTAGACAAAAGGAACCCACTTCATAATTCGTTGTCAAAGTTTCTACACCCACGCCAACTTCAAGTATAAAGGCACAGATGCAGCTCATAAAACAGTAAAGCTTCTGTCGCTCCTTGAAAATAATGGGAATGTGGAGTGAAGTTTAATAGGGGCCATTCGGCATTATTGATAATTTTCACGAAACGAAAAAGTCTAGTTAGGACCCTCCCCCATCCACCTGAACGAAAAAAATAGATTGACTTGACAGGTAGCATGTACTGATGTCTCACTAATCTATAATTTTTCCAAACGAAACAATCCTTGACTCACCCATGAACGAAACTTTTCCTTTGGGGAAAAAGATCGATAATTATGGATGGCCCCTTACTAGGGTCCATTCATGGAACAAGCAAATCTGTTCTATCTGGTGTAATGATAAGTTTGCTTCTCTTCAATTATCTTTGGTCGGGAAAGCCCTTACCAGAAGTGTCAGGGTACCCGTCTTGTTGTCACCGCGTAGGATACTTGCCCGGCATGCAACAAGCAGGTCACGATGGAGTGCCATATCTTCACACCTACATGAAGGGAACAGAAACAATCGCTATGATTATCCTGAAAACCTTCAAAGCATCGGCCCAAGTGATGGGCAAATCACACACAAGCAGCAACGCTCAATCGGAAAAGAATGAGCTTCGTGGAATGCAACCGTTCTGCATTATCATAGCATGGATCCATGGCGGACTGCTTGGTACCCAGGAATCTTCAACCTGTTATACCCTGTGAAGTAGCTGGAGTACGATCTGCTTCCCTTGCTTCTCTAAATGATATTTGACAAACAAAGCCATACTTACGCATGGCGCACCTCCTCGGGAACTTCAATAACGCATTTGAAAAAAGATTCAGCTTGCAAAGGTGGACTGGAAGGTGAAACAAACAGACAGACAGATGCACACACACGCAACATGCAAGAACACACATCAACAGTAATGTGAGCGAGTCAGGACAAGCATTTAAAAGCACCTCCTGTTAACAATCTCCCCGTACAGTATTTTAACAATCCGCTATATACATATATGTATCACTCACTTCTTGTTCGGTGGACGGAGTCTATTGACATTTACAACTTCTGTGAAATTCTTGTCGACTTTGTACTGGATGGTGCAGATCTGCAAAGAGATGAAGAAAATATCAATCTTAACACTCTGCCATCACAGATCTAACAGGCACAGCTACCAGCATTGATTTAGACAGTTAATTTAAGTTTATAGTGGGTCATGTTTGTTATACTGTGGCCAATTTTATGTGATGGCTAAGGTAGCACAAACTGGTTTCGCTCTTGTTACTTCCGGCCCACCCAGAAACCACAATCCATGGACATGGCGGCGGCGACGGTGGGGGGAGGGAGGAGAGAGAGAGAGGAGGAAGAGCGATTTGCTAGCATAGTACTCTACATCTCACGGCATCGGGCCCACCTTCTCTCCAGCCAGAAAAAAGGTAGCTTGCCTTTATCTAATCAAGGTGGTACTACAGTTCGCACTAATATAGACCAATACTACTTGCATTTTGCAATCGTATTCTGTAATAATTATTATTACATCAAGACACAGTGAGAACAGAGGCCAATATGAAGAGCCAAGAAAAACGAATAGGGGTTTGAAGGCATGGAGACGAGCAGGGTGTGTAAAGGAAATGGGAGAAATAGCAATGAAACTGACTTTAACTCTGGCACAACAAGGCCAGAGATGCACCCCAAACTGTTTTGCACTAAGAATGCAGCAAACTGTCCAATATAGACATTGCAGCAAAGCTTTCTTATGTCTGTGCTTGAATAGAGAGCATTAGCAAATCAAATTTTCTTTTCAAGTGCACTCACGACCAACTGAAAAATGAACCCGAACTTTTGAATGAAAATGTTTTTTGTTTTCGCTCCAAGAAACATTTCGGGTGAGTAGTGATACGTGCTTAATGTGGTGGTGGCGACACGGGTATTTGTTGCGGAGCCGAGATTCCATTTGTTTTTCAAGATGGAGCTCGCCTGTTGTGTTCCTTCACGTCCTTGTAGATGTTGAGGAAAGTGAAGGCTGTTCTGTGCATGCTCTGCAGCTAGATCGTTGCCATGGATAAATCCGGAAAATGCAAAAATATATTTCCAAAAGTTCTACGGAGGACGGAACGTAGGGAAACGTTTCTACGGAAATCCGTAGAGAGATTTACATGTGTAAGTTGCCCTCGCTTTCCAGCGTGTACGGCATACGGACTTTCATACGTAATGACGCAGAGCAAAACTTCGCTTTTATCCCAATATGAATATCTTTTCCAGGGTCTTTACATACCAGTTACCAGTGTCTAAACAAGAAAAGAACACTTATTCTGTAAAAAACTCCAACGAGGCTTGAACTACCCTAACCTTCAAGGCTTCACTAAAAACACAAGAACTCTATCAAACTAATGGCTAAACACAGGAAATACAATGAGATGAAACACACAAACTGGCCCTCGAAGTTACACAGCGGAATTGGTGAATATCGCAAAGGGCTGATTCCTGACGATTCCGCCGTATTTAGAAAGCGGAATTGTACGAGAACCAACGCAACGACACCATATTAGCGCTTGGTGAAAAGACTGTTTCTTGGTTTCATTCAAAAACTCGTGACCGAACAAATAATTACGTCCGTTTGAAAGTGAAAATACAATACAACAAAGTCACTGCAAAAGTCAGAAGGAAGACAAATTGACAAATTAAAGACAGTCCAGACCTAAAGTTCTTGAGGTTATTCGAAGAAAGAACACGCCGAATGCAGCTTAGCATTCGGTACAACTACCATTCGGCAAAGTACGCCCCCACCCCCACCCCCCCCCTCGTTCTATTCAAATCATACCTCAGTTCCTCTTGACCAGTCCAAGATAATGGCTGGCCACCAGCCGCAGGCTTCAGTATCCTTCGCCCTGGAAAGGACCTGTCCAAAATACAGGGGAAAGATGGACAGGCGCACAAAATATCAACATACATGAACGCATCGAATTGTATTACCATAAAGGCAACCAATTACCTCAACGTCTTCATTCCTTTCCCAGCTCAGTTGACGTTCACTGTGGTCAGGGAGGCGAATTCGGCTGACAGGTACTCTTTTGTTCGGAAGCCAGCTGCGAAGAGCATACGAAGAGACAAAGAAAGTAATTAGTTGAGCTCATAAAAGCAAGGATACTAGTAGCAGAAAATTAGGAACGCATTTGGGACGTACTTATCTTCGAAGCCAATGACCACGTCATTTTCAACAAGGTCTAGAACGAAAGCCTGAGGCGGAGCAACAGAAAGAATAAGAGGTCAAAGCACTGAGATAGCTCGGGGCTGTAGAGTGAAAGACAAACCCACCCGGTAGAAAGCTCCGTTCAGTCCTTGGACTTCTACCTCCAAGCACCCTACAACGGCGTCACCCATATCCATTGTGCGTGACTGTCTTCTTGTAGTCCGTCAGGATATTAGACTGCTACACTGGACCAGAAAGCAAGGGCGAGCCCTCCACTAAAACAAGAGCTCTGCCTAGAAAACTAGGAGCTGGAGGATGGATAACCACCAATGGAGTGTCCTTGGAGGAAGGATAAAATTCAGAGCAAAAACGGCGGAAAGGCACTACGGAAAGTAGGGGCAACCTCGCGAACAAGGCCCAAGGGCTAGGTCCAGGGTAGCACGTGCTACCTCGTGGTTGTACATATGCGTACACCGCGAATGGTCCGTATTTGCGTCGCAGGCTTGCTGTCTAGACAAGGGGTGCGAATTTGCGCCCAGGCGCTTGGGCACTTTTGGTGTCGGCTAGCCGTATATGCGTATGCGCATTGGCAAAGGATCAATCGCGCAGCGCCGACGTGAAAGGAAGGCGTCCATGCCGTGCGCGGAGAAGTAGCTAGCCAACCAGATCAGATGCAGAGCCGGGTATGGTGGGAGCGCAACATAAGGGGGATGCGACAAGGTTTCATGATGACATACATGACTGTACATGTGCATGTAAAAAACCACGACAACACTGAAACAGGACTATTAGTACTTTATTAGTAGTACTGTCCATGATTACCTACATCATGACATCATTACTTTTCAAGAATAAAATAAGCTCAGGAGTTTTAACTCTTGCATACATATGTACATGTGGTCATTATTTCAGTGTTTGTGGAAATGAACATTTAAATAAGTTTTATTGTACCAATTGATAAAGTAAAAAAGTCGATGCACACCCATGAGATATGAGGTTTGTGAGGGTTTGTTGCCTTGTGGGTTTGTTATAATAATATCTTTATTTGGATGACCCGACGGCTTGTCGCCTATAGAGGGGTTCACCGCTTTGAAGGATATTACCGAGCTAGAGTATTGATGTCCATATTAGACCCATTGACAGCCGATCATCTTCTGATTCTCATTTCCGGATATCATATGATCAGGCTTAGGCACGGGATGCCAGCGACATGTCGACAATGCAGCCACCGGATACGCTCCTAGCTCCTACATCCTATGTTGCACTGCCGGCCTTATCAAAAACAAACTCGTGGTAACAGTTTCATGTTCAGCATGGTCTTGGGAGGAATCGGTTCAACCAATCGCGCGACCGTCGCCGTGCACATCCCGAAGCCTTTCGCAGAAAAGCCGGGCAAAACAAGTAGCTCAGAGTCGGAAAGACTCAAGTCAAGAGCTGCTTACTAATATCTTGACTAGAGAGGGTCATGTACTCTTGCTAATAAGTAATAGACTATGCTAGTACTGTAGTATGCAAAACAAAACTAGCAACGGTAGTCGACTACAACTCGTACTGTTAGTCGTAGTAGTCTTGCTCCAAACCGACTACGCTCGTACTAGTAGACTACGAGTAGTGGTGCGTACAGGTACCGACCGTATATCCAGAGTCCCGATTTGCGCTGACCGCGCCGCGCTGAGTTGTTTTGTTTGTTTGTTTGATTCAAATGGCGGTAAATACACACCTGGCAATATCGGCGGTTTATACCTCACTCCCTATACACTTTAGCCTGGTGTATACATGGTATAGGGAGTGAGGTATAAAAACTGTAAGTGACTTACCAGTCTTAGGCATGCTCTCCCTTAGTGGTGTATATATCGATACACCGCTAGGGGGAAGTACTAATACTACCGGTAATAGTAATAGTAGCAGTAGTTGTCGGCGAGGAACAAGCCATTAGGAAGTCACACACGGTGAATATGGAGAGGTATAAATAATAAAATAATATATTATAACAAAGGGACCTCGTGTATATCGAGATTAATTTATACCTCACTCCATATACACTTACAGTCTTAGGCATGCTCTCCCTTAGTGGTATATTATCTCCATATACACCGCTAAGGGAAACTAGCAGTAGTTGTGGGCGAGGAACAAGCCATTAGCCTTTAGGAGGTCACACACGGTGAATATGGAGAACGAAACAGCATGCTGTCTTCAGATTGAGTATGGAGAGACATAAATAATAATAACAAAGGGACCTCGTGTATCGAGATATATACACCAGTTCATACTGGTGTATCTCTATAATAATTATATACACTCGTTCCTTGTTATAATACTAATACACGCCTGCCCACACACGCTCTCTAGGCTGCAAAGTTATTCTAGCACAAAGCTCTTCTTCTCAGTTCTCACCACCACCACAATCAGTTATTACAGTATACCCTACATTGTCGACTTTCGAGAAGCAGAAGGAAGAAGACTGAAAGTGAAATGAGAAAGGTAGATCTACTAGTGTGACGTGTCTCGGGCGAGCTCGCGAGTCGGGGGTGTACGAGGGAACTGCAGCCTGGCGGAAAGCAGATAGACACCGTGCCAAGTACTGTACCGGTAGTTGCGTCCCGTCAACATGGTCAAGACAGTGCCACAGGAGCTGTGCTGCTGTGTTGTACTATTGTCTACTGTAGTATTGATTCATTGTAGATAGATCTTCCAAGACCTATAATTAATTATTTTGTACGTACTCGTACTGAGTCTGTGCGATACGTTCCAAAATCGACTGAGCAGTCTGAGCTGCCGTCACTGTACTGGCGTCACTGGTTGTGTTGAAAGCAAACTGCCGCTGAGCTCTCCTACACATGACATGATTGTTTGGATGCCTGAGCTCTCCTACTGTACACATGACATGTTTGGATGCCTTTTCATGTTGTTTCACTTTCTGTATCTCGACTTCTCGAGAAGATAGTCCGGATTTGAAATGAAACATTGAAAGGGACATCTCACACTGGACTGGTTGCACCATGACCATGTAGACCTGCCATGCTAGCTGTAAACAGTAGTAGATCTACAGTGTAACAGACTCAGTGTCACTGGTCACTGTCAGTGTCAGTGCAGTAGGTTCCAGCTGTATAACATGGCCTATGCGTGTACCCCCGCGTGCACGGCCGCATGGCCAGCGCCCTGTGGGCAGGGGCCGATATCTACTAATCTAGACTAGACATGCAACCAGATGTCTAGTCTACATGTATTATATGTCCGACGTCCATGACAGACTGTCTGTTGTGGGCATTATAACCTACTGTAGTACGTATCCGATGACTGAGTACGAGGTCAATATACATGTAGTATAATAATAATATTACAGTCAAACCTCTTTAGGACGAACATCAAGGGACCGATGATATTTGTTCGCAATAACGGGAGTTCTTCTTATCCATTATATTTTATTATGTTTTACCCAGTGAATACACCGGGTTTTATCCAATACAATTGCGAATACTAGTTCTTCTTAGGCAAACATTTGTCTTATCAGTGTTCTTCCTAAACGGGGTTTCACTGTATAGGAAATAAAAGCCGAGTAAAAGACCGAGGCGAAGCCGAGGTCTTTTACGAGGTCTGTTTATTTCCCATAATTATTATACTACATGTATTTTTCTCGTTTTTTTTGCGTTTTTTCACACATACAATTGTTTTCATTTTTTGGTGTTGTGTTCTAATCATTCGCCATACCACTGTCAATAATTGTATTCTGTTTGCCCGTAAAAGAGGCCTTTATTTTTATTTTTTATTTTTTTATTATTATTTCACAATCACGATGGCAATAAGCATGTGATGCGGGCGATTTTAACCAGCCATGGTTTATCATGTAAAATGAGTCAAATATAAGCGGTCGATATACATGTAGCCCTAAGCCTGGGGCCGATTCCGCACTACGCCGAAAGTGGCTTTGCCTTGAAGGCATAAAGTGGCTTATAAAGTGAAGCTGCATTCACACCTACAAGTGTCGATCACGGGACTTTGCTTTGAAGGTTAGACTGTGAGGCTTTCCTGTGCTTGATCTAGCAATGGCGGTAGTGGAGAGGCTCTTTGTTGGTCCAAATCCTCGAATACCACCCATTTTCGCGTGCCCAAGCTTGAAATTTGACCACGCTAGCGCGCGCTGTGTAGGCGGATTCCAGATCATAGGTCGAATATTTGTCAACCTCGCCAACAGGCATTCCGGTGGCAGTTTTCGTTGTGTATGTCTCGTACAGTCCTTTCGCCTTCGTTTTCATGTTGTCGATTTTGGAATGGACGATCGACGCAGTATAGATTGCCTCCTCCCGGAGCTGTTCAGCAAACAAATTCCGCTTGATGGCGATCTCCTCCGGCGTAGCTCCTGCGAACTGTACCGCCCGGAGGTCGCCTCAAATGTCCGCTCCAAAGCTCGATCAGCTTGCCCTCAAGCTCCTGGCTAAACATGACCCGAGGCATTGTTGACAGCTCACAACTCACCACAACTGAAAGATACGACAGGGAACACATTCGGAAAAAAATCGAAAGGCTGAAGAAAAGTCAGAAAAGTGTCCTGAAAAGGTAAAAAGTAACGTAATCATTAGTTGCCTTGAAAGAGGGTGCTGGTGTTGCTTTGTAGACAACTTTCGCGCGTTTCTCAAAGTGATCGCCATGGCAACTTGCCGGAAAAGTGCCTGAAAAATGGCTTTTTAGACAGGATTTGGTGTAGTGTGGAATCGGCCTAAAGTTTTACTAAAAGGAGTAATGGCCTAAAAGGCACGGTGAGACGTGAGACAGGCAGAGCCAGACCAGGCAGCGCCACCACCGGCACCCTACCACCAAAGCGGCCAAGATTGCAAGAACATAAGAACTACTTATATTAAAGAAGCCGATTACCATGATTACGGAAGCGCTATTTTTGCGTATTGTCACTATGACTATGAGTCTGACCGGCCTAGCTACTGTGGTGACCATGGTTACTCGTGACTGCGAAGTGTGATGAGCAGGGAGTCGTCAAATACCGGAGGTGACGACTCCCTGGTGATGAGAGGAGACAGAACTATTACTTACTTCAGAAGGCCGAAAGAAACCCCGGGAAGTAGTTCTACTTCTAGTTGACCATGCGGCATGAATAGGTGACGGTAGTAACGACGGCAGTGACTACATCGAGTACGGATAGTGAAGGTGATGATGAGGCGGAGGATGGTGTTCGTTATTACGGTCCAGCGGATAATGCCGGCATTATAGCCTTTGGGTCATCCTAATAAAGTTATTATTATTATATTCGGCATTATACGACTATCCGAGCATCAGAGCATTATGGAGCATTAGAAAGGAACAAAACGAGCATTATGTGAGGTTTGAGCGGCATAACGAGTTTCATAGTGGATAATATCGGGAAATCCCAGGTTTTTGGCAACAATCGGCTACAATCATGATCATGAGGCGTTTTCTGA